TTTTTCAAGTTACTCAGTAAAGCAGTTTATATTTTGGTCGATTTTATGTTAAAAAGATTTATGAACTCGAACAATCGTGTCTCACCATATTTTTTGCAAAAATTTTGCTTTTTTTTATGAAACTATTGATGTTTATTATGAATGTTTAATAGCCTGAATGTATAGAGGCTGGATTTTTTTGTTTTTCCATTCAAAATGTTGCGAATTTCAGGGACGAAACAACAGAAGGTGTAAGCAAAAAAATTCAAACTGTTATTTTTTTTAGGATACGAACGAAGAACAACATTCTTGGGAAACGCCGTAGAAAAATGCATTACACGCATGCGATTGTTGTTCGTATACCGGACCATGTAAAAATGGAAAAGAAAACGAAGCTCGATTTGCAGCTGGCACGAAAACAACGTGAAGAAATTGCTGGCATGCTTCGGGAGGTAGGCTTCATTCTATCTTGCATATTACGGTCATCGATTTCGCTAAATTCAGTGGAAGAACGGTAAATTAAACAGAATAGGGGCAGTAAATAAACACAGATACAAAGCGGATTATTGAATGGCTTTCTTTGGGCGTTAAGGGAATACTGATTAAACTATGGAGTGGAAGAACGCTTTTGAATATCTATATGACGAATGAGCAATCGGCAGCCGCGGTAGGCCGAATTCGGTCCGTGACCGGTTTTAATCCAGCCCACGGAGGAAATCGGTGTGTGCTGCCTAATTAGACGAACGGAAGTTTGTACCCCTCCACGCTCCTGCATTCTCATGAAAATAAATAAAACTAAAATACGCGCGATACTAACAGGAAATAGTTTGGAAATTACTTCAAGACTGTTCATATACTTATAAACGATCTGACTACATCAAATTTAGCATAAAAACACATGAGCGCACGGGCAAACCCTAGTGTGTTGTGTACCTGAGTTTTATTAAAAGATGGCTCGCAAGTTTAAGTATGTAAACAAAAGGCAGTACGGGCCTAAAAGACCCTGTGAAGAAAACAAGGGGCCGGAACAGCGGCCCAATCAGAGAAGGGTATTAGACGGCAGGGACCGCACCAATCGTGCATGCAATAGGAAAATGCAGTGGTGGGGCGGTAGTCGCCCAAGGTCCGTGGTGATAATGAAAGAAAGAAAATAAAAGGGTCAGATTGCTGTGATGCATATTTTTTTAAGAAAATCAGGGTGGAATTTAAAAGAAGTCATGTAAAAAGCAGCATGTAAAAAAGCCTGCCTGTGTTTCATCCCCAAGCTGTAAACATAGACAGCACGAGACGTGATTAGGGGCGGGAATCGTCAGTACAGCCCCCTAACCACCATGTTTGAATGAACATAGCGTAGGCACATGATGAGATAGGATAAAAAAACATGCAAAAAAAAAAGGGGAAAGAGAAACGAATAGAGAAATCTAGACTAACGTGGATGAAGAAATTGTCTGCTTTGCTTCGTTTGGACGCGGGTTCTCCTTGCGTAGTCATGCTGAAAAGCAGTGTTTCTGTTGACGAATAGCATGATGCTGTGCCGAGCTAACGCCAAATAGTACCGACGCGCAAATCATCCGAATTCCATGATCATCACAGTATAGGTATTTAGCAAGGTTAACGGTGTGCCTGTTAACAAATTTGCGGACGCACTGCGTCAGTTTGTGTGCGTCGTGACCCCTTTTCAAGTACCCAAAAACTAGTCAAGCCCGCGTGTTGCCAAAGATTGCCAGTATCTGATCTATGTGTTGTTATTTGAATAGAAAAAAAGTTCAAAATAGAAATAAATGAAGATTAGGAAGCTGCATCGATATTGAGAAGAATAAAACAACAGCTAATGAGTATCAGTGCAAATAAGAAGCGTTAGGCTGACTCGCTAACAAGCTGTTGTTCCGGTAGTTTATGTTTATCGAAGGATAAAAGTAGATAGGTCGAATCCCACAGCGATTCTTTCATTCATATCGATGATAAATTGGTACTGGCATGTGCGGAAGACTCAAAATCACTACCCGTATACTTTTAATCAGTCCTCCAAAGAGGGACCCATTAACCCATTTGTCAAGTGTATTTTTCAGTCCGGTGTTGATATTGTCGAGCTTTCTACGCAGGAAGAGTGTGTGCAGCAAAGTTTGTTCACTGGCGATGCAGCTGTTTGTATTAATGGTACTGCCCTGATCACTCGTCCCAAAAAAGCCGGCAG